TCGCACACGTGAGTAAAATGACTCATGCGTCATTTTACTTGAGTAAAATTACTCACGTGTGCGACGGGCTTTAGTAATTCATTAGCAGATTACAAGCGCTAGACGTGTTCTCACCTGGTGGAGGCTCGTTTATCTGAGGCGTTCCTGCTCCTGGCTCCATCGTCTGTACATGCCGTGCACTTGATCCCTCCAGGTTGCCATTGGGTCTTTGGTTCTTCAGACTTGTCCATTTGCCTAGCGGTGACATGGCTGAAGAGGCACATGAAGAAGCATAAGCTATAAGATCACACATGATGCACTACTCTCAACATGTACAGCCTGCCATTGGAGGATAGGAACACCTCATGTCAGTTGTCATACAATCATCAGACCACACATATGCATGCAGACATTACACGTTTCCTTATCATCCTGTTCAAATCGAACCAGAATCTAACGCAACCACTTGCGTTCACGTAATACAGAAAACTACGTATGTAGCCTGGTGGGTAACGTCCAAGCTGCGAGCTGTGTAGCCGTGTTCGCGATGTGTAAACGATCTCTCCGTCAGTGCTTACATTTCGAGCCCTTGCCGCCACTATTGCGCAGGCTGTTCATGGCTCGCTGCAGGGCGCTGCTTCGTCGGCTCGTCTCCGGCGTCATGGCCGTGAGATTTTCGCCCGAGGCTCCGGACGTGAAGACGAGTGAATTGAGACTGAGCGTTGATGCTGACATACCCATCTGGTGGCCTGTCACATGCACGAGAGCAAAAATCACATAAGTTCAACCTGACCGAGCCAACCAGCGACTGGGTATCACTCAGTGAGAGCTACAATCTCGCAGCCAAGGTTTACTAGTCTGTTTCACAAAAAAGTGGAAAAAAATTCACGCAAGTGCTATATAGCTAACTAGACAGCTCTTGATTGAACCATGCATCATTATTAAACCCTGCAACCACGTGGGAAACTGCTACTGGCATCTAGCAGTATGCAAACTACACAAGTAAAGCCATCAACAGTTAAACCTGTACATGAGGTACAATCAAGGGAAATTGCAAGTGTGTCCTTTATAGACAGTTGGCCATTCTATAGGGGGTCGTAAATAATTGCCATGCAGGAAATCCACAAAAAGTGTCTTTTGGAAATGTGTCAGAAGTGTCAAGGGACAGATTTCGATTCTATAAAGGTCTCTATAAATTGTCTGCTAACACAAGTTGAACTGTAATTATATGACACGAGTGCAAAGATTATCTGGTCTTTCAGAGGATGAGGTATTCAAAAAAAATTAAGGCCAATCAGTAGATGTGTAACGAACAATATAACATGGTCACGATATGATACATATCCCAATACTAGAATACTCGCCACGGTTTGATACATATCTTGAAAAACGGACAGAAAAAGAAGTTGTAAATCGCATCGCTATGATAACTTTGTCATCCCGTGTAGGAAATATTCATGTTAACTCGTCATGTGAAAATTACGTTTACATATTTTTTCATGAAAATTAACATGTCAACATTCTCGTCGGTAAGGGCCGTTACAACATCCCCAACGCTTGAAAACACACATTCACTGGGAACAGATGTAGCTGCAATAGACTTTTGCAAGGCATGCAAGTGGATAGGAGCTTTGTGCCTGCCGCCCTTACTCAACTGAATTTCCACTCGATAGAATCATTATGGGTACCACTTAAGTAGGACATAAGATGTCCGTAATATTTCAATACTTGAGATTTTCATGACAACAGGGAGCCTGCTATAGTTCAAACTTTGTTGCTATTTTTTAAACACCTGCCACTCTGCTGTATTCCGTGTCTGGTTGGTATCACAACTGGTTGGTATATTGTAATCACATGGATGATAAAATCTTAATGTTATTCTAAGTGTATAATATGTATTCCAATACCTTCATAATGCAAACGTATTATGAGTATTTCAGAGCCATGGAAATATAGAGTAAACCATTTGTTGTTATATATTTCTATGGCTGAAGAAGCACACCAAGAAGTTCTGAGTGTGCTCTAGACTGACCTGAGATCAACAGTTCCACCCTCAAGCACACCACGCACGCACGCACGCACGCACGCACGCACGCACGCACGCACGCACGCACGCACGCACACACACACACACACGCACAAACGCACTCACGCAGGCAGGCAGGCAGGCACGCACGCACGCACGCACGCACGCACGCACACACACACAACTGCACGCACGCACACACGCACACACACACAAACGCACGCACGCACACACGCACCCACGCACGCACACCCAAAATGTTTATTGCTATATGATTAATATACAGATATAGGAAGAATTGACCCTCTCGAGGATCATCCCATCGACTAATCGTCTCTAGAGTACAGCTGATGATGATGCTGATGCTGATGCGAGTGTTATAAGGCTAGAGAACGTAGAGAACATGCAGACGATAGCAAGTCAATATAGATTACAGCGGTATGATAGTGACTACACGATACAGCGGTATCAATACAGCGACTACAGATATAGCGAGGATAGATTGGTCAGCGACGTATGATACAGCGGGAGTATCGATACAGCGGAGCAGAGATACCAGCTAGTACTCAATACAGCGATACAGGATATGCGAGTAGGGACAGCGGAGTATTGCATACAGCAAGTATAGAATACAGCTAGTACCAAGATATCAGACGGTACAAATACAGCAAGTATGAGCATACAAACGAGTATGGATACAGTGACTACAGATCAGCGAGTATATACAGTGAGTTGGATACAGCGAGCAGAGATAACAGCAAGTATTTGATACCAGCGACTACAGATACAAGCAAAGTATAGATTCAAGAGTTATTGATACAGCGAGCAGAATTACAGCCGAGTAGTGATACAGCGAGTATTGATACAGAGAGGGAACGATACAGCGAGTATTGCTCACAGAGAGTATCGATACAGCGAGTACAGATACAGCTAGATATCGATACAGCGAGTATTGATGACAGTGATACAGATAGCAGCGGTACAGTGACAGAGAGTATTGATACAACGACTACAGAATACAGCGCGGTAACAAATGTTACGGTAGTGGTAGTTTCCTGCAGTAGCATAGGAGAAACAAAGGTCAAAGGTCAGACAATATTATAGAGAGAGAAGACAGCTGAACAGAGACATCACCCATACCAACGCTATATCCAGATCAACGCACGGAAGCCCTAACCCTACACACTATGTTACAGACAGCAGTCCATCAGTGTTCACACGCCTACTTTGCCTCACAGTCTGCATTGTCTCAGGAGATATACTGTCTCATACCGCCGACATGGTCCTTTTTCTTCCACAGAAGCAATAGTGTTCTCATAGTACAATTGGGCTCTATCAGGAGTATTAGTGTCTCATAGTGTAATTGTCTCATGTGCCTTAGTGTCTCCATAGTGTAATTGTCTCACAGACTATAGTGTTCATAGTATAATTGTGTCACAGAACAATGTGTCTCATAGGGAATTTATCTCAGTGCATAGTGTCTCATGCTGTAATTGTTCTCCGTTTGCATAGTGGGCGCTCTCATCAGGTGTAATTTGTCTCACAGCAAA